ATCACCTTCAGAGTCAGTTTGTTCTAATCTCCAGCCTAGATTTCTTCTGTTGCAGCTTGAGGCCATTGCTCCTAGTCCTGTCCCATACAGCCACAGAGAAAAGGCTATCTCTATCCTCTTCATAATCTCCCTTTAGGTATTTGAAGACTGTTATCATATCCCCCCTCATTCTTCTCTGTATATAAATGTCTAAAACATGGACACACACACACACACAAACACAGTGCATTCTGGGTTTGTTTCAGACGCAGGGCAGGCACACTTTTGACCAGAGTACAACCCCTTAGTATTGTTTGCGAGTATGGCCACATGCCTACCTCTCTGATTTGCATGGGTGCACCTAGTCAGATGGGCACAGTGTCTGAAAGAAACAGACTGCTGCACATATAACTTTACTTGGGTAACAGAGAGAGGGAAGAGGGAAGGACTGAGCTTGGAAAGCTGCAGCACAGAGAAGCTAAGAAAAAAATGCTGATTAGATACAAGACAGTGCAAAATGCTAAAAGAAAAATGAATATGGATATGCTCCATGCTGAGAGGGAGACATGGAGGGGGTGAGAGTAAATGGCTATAGCTGGGAGGTAGAGAAGCCACTTGTGAAAGGTCACAGATGTCCATTAAGGTTCTGGAGAGAACTGTGGGAGCAGGGCTCTGGGAACGCCATCTCTGCAGAAGCACTGCCCTGCAGGAGTCAGCTGATAGCAGCGAAAGTCCCACACCCCCCACAGGCAGGCACAGGCTCAAGTAATAAACTGATGAATCAGCAACATTGCTTTTTTTTTAAAAAGCACAAAGGGAAATAAAAGACAAAGAAAACCAACCCCTGAAAATGAACCAGATTAGCCCTGACCACACAGATTGGGATCAACGGATCTATCGTGTTGAAATGAAGCTGTTTGCTTGTTCATTTTCTCCCTGCTCAGTGGGAATCGGTAGGGAAAATATTGAAAGATCAACCATGCGCATACATACGCACGCATAAAACCTTCTCACATCCCTTATTCATAGCCTTTGCTGGAGCAGATGCAGGAGGACAGGCCCCTTGGAAAGTCTATGGAGTACTCAAGTGATGAGACTTTCCAACCTGTTGGTTCTCCAGACTTTTTGCCCTTAGAAGCCATTTGAGGTCATCACAGCAAATCCTGTATAGCCCCTGGCCAGCACAAGCTTGACATTCATTCTGGAGTGGGAGTTAGCATAGCATCTGAGGATGGAGAGGCATTCTGAGCGAGAGGCATCTTTATTCTTTTCATGTTCCCAGTCCATAGTATCCTCTGGTCTTCTTCAGTGCATGGAGGAAAGAGAGAGGAAGGGGAGGAGGAGAACTGAAGGGCTGAGAAAGGCACCATCCCTTCACTCCATCTGTCACAGCCTGCGGTGGAGACACAAGACAGACAGCAATCAGCACCAGAACAATATCTAGAGATTGTATTCCAAAGGAAGCAAATGTCATAGGAAAGCTGCCACCCATCATAGAGCAGGACTATCTGGACCCCATGAGACCACGCATTAACCTATTCATCTCTAGAATCATGCAGGAGTTAACGGGTTAATGCTGTTACTTGTGGAGGTTACTCAGTGGTCAGAAGCAACCCGGGACAGGTAAAGTTAAAAAAAACTCCATTGATTCTTATGCATTGGGGCCTTACCATGAACATAGTTTGACAGCTTGTACAGACCCACCCGCCCACATCATTTAAAGTTACATCATTATTTGGTGTAAGCAGCCCATAGTTTAATTACCCAGATCAGTGGTGGAGAAAATTATTTTTATGTACTTTATACATACGCAATCTTATCTAGGTTGCCACTACTTTAGCATGTAAGGATCTGATCTGTCATCTCTAATGAGCCCTTCATTACAACATGTCTCTATTCAGCCCCATCATAAGGTTCTGTCACATTATGCTGTCAGAGCAACAAGTCCTGCTTGACCCAGGAGGTTCCCCATCTCCGTGATCGCCCATGAGAATAATGCCCTTTACATGACAGCACACCGTAGTAGATGACAAAGAAAGTTCTTCTACTGCAGATCCACTAGTCCTCATAACAGCAGAGGAGGGAGAAATTATCATTATCCCTGGCAGCAAGAAGCATTGTGACTAAAGGTGGCCATTCTACCTTGCAGACAACCTTTAGTTTCCATCTATGGCCTTTTCCTCAGAAATATAATTACGCAGCAGCCAAATCACAGTAGGTGGGAAAAAATTACCAGACTACCTACTCCATTTTTATGCCAAGAGAGCAAGAAATCTCCAGACAGATCCCATATCCACCTGACATCATTCTTCACCTTAGCCAAAAGAGCAAGAAAGACCCAAGAAAAACAGGGGCATGCTTCTTACTAAAATATCATGTTACTGGTGTTGCATCCATGTTACCAAGGTACTAGACCTCTTCACTCCTCACATGCAAATTTCCCATGCTCAGGAAGTGGGGGGGAATGGAAAGAGGACTAATGCTCATATCAGCAATGAACACGCCACTGATATAGCAACGGGGGACTATAGTACCATATCAAGCATATTTGGGACAGCCCTATTTCCATCTCCCACAGAGATCAGTAAATAGTCACCAGGGGTGAGTGCAGCCAAAGAGTAAGCAAATCATTACTAAAATGCATAATGCAGCTCTCGTTACTCTGACACACTGCTCTGAAGGAAACAGCAGCAAGTGAAGGCCAGTAGCCGCCAAGTTCTCCTTAATGAGGGAGCCAGATAGACACCTCTGACAGAAAGCAACTGCGGCACTGAAACCCTCTTCCTCGCTCCTCATCTCCATGTAGCTAACTAAACAGAGGGCCTCAGAATTACAGTAATTAGGGGCAAGCTGCCAACTAGCAGAAGTTTGCCAGCAGTCATAGTACAGGCAAAATTATTATGGTACCTCAAGTGCAATTGCTTAAAGGACCAAACACAACCAAGCAAGTCTAGAACCTACTGCCTTTGGTTCACCAACTTCTCACCTTCCTTGTGAAGGTCATTGTATTATTTATTCTGATCATGAACTGGAAATTAACACCACTCCTGATCAATGGTTCACAATGGACCATCTAATTTTTAGGCTCTGAAAGACCAGTGTTGCGTTAGTTCCAGCTTTGCTGAAAACCTGTCTCTTTTCTGCCTCAGTGCATGCAATAACGATGATGGAGCAGCAGGAACTTCACTAGGGAAGAACAGTGCAATTCTATGGGAATAGTTATCCAAAGTGACCTTGGGGTATTCTACAGTTTAAGGAAAGGAGCACAAAGAATAAATATGGGCTTCAGTGGCTTCTTTGGGTCTGCAGAGTAGAGATAATGCACCAGGGCTGAGAGATTAGGTTGTCAGAGGCAGGATGAGAAATCAACATCTCAAGTTTCATGGTTGGCTCCCAGAAAGATACATCCATCAGTAAGCTGAGTTGAAATACAAGAAGTCCTTGGTTAGTTTTTGCAGGTGGATTAGCACAGCTTCCCCCATTCATTGCACCTGTGGCGTCCTGTCTTCCATCCAATTCTCCAATTTCCATGGCAAGTAATACGTTTCAAAATTAGGAGAAATCCTCTTCTCCAGATGGGTAAATTTATGAAACCCTGTGTGGTACTACCCCATGCTACAAAGTAGTATATTTCCATGGCTATGTGCTAGGTATCATAAATGAAAAACGGATGCATGGAAAAGGACTTTCCCACTTGAACCTTGGAGGAGAAAATGAAGTATGTCAGTTTGTAGGGGATTCTGAGGTCTCCCTTCTGCTATTACAGGGCCAAATTCTGAGACCCTGTTCAAGGACCTCCTCAGACAACAGGTTTGCTGAAGCCAATGGGAGACCTAAGTCTTAGGATAAAATTACTGAAGCAGTGCAGCATTCAACCCTCAGCTGTGTGTGTTAGAAGATATGCTTTGTCCATGTCTCTACAAACCCCTTCAGATGCTTGTTCTTGTAAGGTTGATCCATGTGCACCTCAGTGGTCCTGGGGTAGACAAAAGGTGACCACAAATCACCACCTCTTTAGGTTTTCTTTATCCAAAAGAAATAAAAATGTCCTGAAAGAGAGTGTATGGAGGAAACCTCAGCTGCTTCTTTTTGAAGTCCTAATATTCTGAGGTGAACACGGTCCTCGTATGAACAGCCTTTGTGGAAGACAAGGTAAGCCAGTGATACAAATATTATTGCATTAGAAGCACACACAGAGTGCATCTTCTTGCATTTCTGACCAAGACAGGGAGCATATATTGCTTTTCTACAGGGCACATTTTGGAAACACTTTAGTTCAAGGTCCATTGCTGAATCAATAACAGTCCATGCTAGAGTTTGAATGATTGGGCTCTGCAGCATCTTCAGAGCATGAATATATTATAATAGACAAAGCCCTGACCCATATTCACTCCCTCATGGACCAACTCCCTCTCTCCCCATTCACCCCCACACAGGCCACATGTCCCCTTTCTTCCTCCTCTCCTAACCATTCCTACTGTTTCCCCTGCTATTAGAGATTCCTCTCCCAATGGCTGACTGTCAGCTCTGCCAGACAGCATGTCCAAGCCCTGATGGCTGTTCCTATTTTTTTTTCTCCATGGATCACACTTCTCCAGTGGAGGCAACTAAACTGGCTCCACCCCTTGTTTCCAACAGCTTTTAAAGCCCTCCAGGATTCCCAGCCATAGAAGCAGCTGGTAACAAGAAAAGCTAGTGCCACATGACCAGCCAGCTCCGAGGCAACTTGTACTCCATCCATCACCAGTGGGCAGCAGTTGAGGAACTGCTGTGTTAGGGAGACACTGTTCTCCTAACCCAGCATGGGGGCAGCAGCATCCTTGGGACTGTGACTGTTGGAAATACCCAGACTTAGGCGGGATGGGCGGAATGGTTTTCCTGTTAATTCCGCCCCAATTCCCTCTTGTATCACTGCAACCCTAATGTGCAGCAGTGCTAGGAGGCTCATGTGAGGCTCTGATTACAGCACCAGGGACAGTAAGAAACAAACTTATGGATTTCCAGGGAGAGGAGCAGGAGTCTTACTCTGCTGACTTCCAGAAGTGACCAGGGTGGGAAAGGCGACGGTTCCGCTTTGGCAGTTTCTCCAGCATCTCCATGAGCTTGGTGAAGGTGGGTCTCTCTTCCTGTTCATACGCCCAACAGAAGAGAAGGATGTCCTGCAGCATGTACAGGAAAAGCAATGAAACAACAGAAACAGCCCTCTCCCTCACTTGACTGGCTCTGTCCCTATGCAGACAGAGACCAGCCTGAACCAAATCCCAGGCTCCACCTGCATACTTTGGAGATCAAGAGACACTCACGAGCTGCTTAACTGACAGACTTCAGGTGCTAGTGCAAACTCAGTAGTTCAAACCCCATCTCTAACAACACAGTCTTACAGAAGTGGGGTGTGGGCAGTAGTAGAGATCTCCCAAGGAGGGTATGCTCTTCCAAGCCCTACAGAAACTAGGTAAATGCAGGGAACCTGAGCAGTTGTGTTGCAGTTGGGAGAGGAAAGAATGTATATCATCTTCCTGAGGCTCTCCCCATTACTCCCCCTTAGCTTTAATTGCTTTCTCTTTCTGGTCAAGAAGAACTGGACAGGGCATCAAAAATATGTCAGGCTCGTCTACAGCTGGCCAGAACTCTAGCCCTACCCCTCCTAGGTAGGGCTGTTGGGCCTCCACTGCACCAACAGCAGAGACAGCAGGATGTGAACATCGGCCCCTGGCACAGCAAAGCACTGGGCATTTCCTGTGGCCATCCCTACTATTGTGATTTTTGGTGGATCAACAAATAATTTCTCACTGTCTCACAGTTGAAGCAAATTCACCCCCTCCCCCCCTGCATCAATAGGCCTAAAACTCTCTGGCATCACGTACCGATATTTCTTTGCCCATGCCGATCTGGCTGAGGTTGGGCTTCATCCCTCTGCCCACTTGCCATATTATTGCCTCTGCTGGTTGCGTCTTGAAAGGCCACTCCCGTGCATGCAGCTCATACCAGATAGTGCTGTTGGGAGACAGTAGCACTGGGACTCAGAACATAATGCCATGGATGCACTGTGAGATCAGTCTGAACAGGGGACATGTGTCCACATGATCTCCCTGCACATCCACCCTGAGAGGATAGGCCCTGCAAGGCACTTTCCTTGTTCAATGGTCATGGTACACAAGGAGGCACTTTTCTGAGAATGTACGTTACCCTCCACAATCTCCTCCTCTCCCTCTTATGTAGATATTGCCCTGTATCTAGGGATTTCAAAGCATTTTACAACAATAGATATTATCCCCATTTCACAGATCGGGAAGCTGAGACACCAAGGTCAGTGACCTGACCAAGATCATACAAGTTACTGGCAGACTCCAAATGAAAACTCAGGTTGCCTGACTGCTAGCCCCACATTCCCATTTGTGAGGTATTTTAATCACAGTCTGCTCTTGTTTTGGCTTTGTTATTTGGCCTTCCCCTTCCAGCATATATTTGGCTAGAACCTTAGCTGGTGTAAAATTGGCATAGCTTCCCATTTACACCAGCTGAGAATCTGGCTGCCTAAGAGCAGAATAGGCCTCTCTGATGGGAGGCACAAATATACTGAATAGTGAGCCTGCCGTATCAAGTGGGGGACTCCTGCAGTGCTGCAATAGTAGTTCAACCTGCCGCATGTGGAGAAGCTTAATAGATAATGCAGGGGGTAAATATGCCTTACAGCTGCTGGCTATCTTTTACATTCATGCCACCTGCTCCAGCTGGATTGGGAAGACGGCTCTGCAGAAACAGGAGGGATGAGGACTTGCTTTAGCTTTTACATTTTGCCCCCAGAGAGAATACAACAGACCAGTGGAAGAAATCTGGAGAAAGCTTGTATCAGGGGCACAACTGGAACACAGGTGGTCAGGGTTGACTGTAGAGCAAGGGTGGGTAAAATATGGCTGCCACCAGGCACTTTCATCCAGCTCGTGGTGCCCACCAGTGAATTGTACCCCACCCAGCCCTTCCACCCATGAGAGCGGGAGCGAGGTGCCTACGTACACATATCCCGACCAACATACCCTATTGCACCTTGCTCCCACCCTCACATGCAGAAGGGCCTGGACCAGCCTGAAGCAGCTTCTGGGTGGGGCTGCTGCTGCCACTGCTCCAGCTGCCAGGGGACCTGCTCGGCTTCCTTGGCATCTGGCTCGCTCCAGGCACCAAGGCGGGAAGTGCTGGGGGCGAGGAGCTGCAGTTGGGCAGAAGTGCGGAGCATGGGTCTAGGGCTGGTGACAGCACAGAGTGTGCACCCATGAGGCTCCATGGAGCTTCGGTGGGTAGGGTGTGTGTGTGTGTGAGGGGGGAGGACCCCTATTCCCTCCAAGGTGTGCAGCCCCTGCCAGCAGGGGCGCTCAGGGTGCTCATGCCTGGCGCAGGTGCTGCTGCCCAGCGGTGCGCAGTTCCAGCCAGTGCTGCACGTCACAGTGAGAAGCACAGCCTGGCTGAGCTGTCTCTATCACACAGCACTCTGCGCAGTGCACATGCAGCTCTTGGCACTCATGTCACTGGAGGGAAGCTCCATACGCTGGAGCCAGTTGCCTTCACTGCTTCCTGCTGCACAGCTCCTGGGACTCCACCAGAAGTGGAGGGGAGCCCCAGCCACTGCTCCCCCGTGGAGTCCTGGGATCTGCGTGGCAGGGGATGGGAAAGACAGCTAGCTCCGGAGCGTGGAGCTTCCCTTCAGTGGTACACGAATGCTGGGAGCTGCGCAGAGTGACACATGATAGAGGCGGCCTGGCCTGGCCAGGCTGCGCTCATCGCTGCTATGTGCAGTGCTGGTGGGAGCTACGTGCCACTGGGCAGCAGCGCCTGTGCTGGGCATGAGTGCCCTGAGCACCCCTACCTGCCGCTGCTGTTGCCACCACCACTGACACCTACAGAGGCTGTGCACCATGGGAGGGAGTATGGAGGGGAGGCCTCATTCCCTCCACCTTCCCTAACATCCCACAAATGCCACACACCCACACCCTGCCCCCACAACTCCCCCCAAATATATATCCTCCAACATACCCTATTGCCCCCCATATACAGCCACAACCCCTCACAAACCCCCTCACATCCCCCACACGTCCCATACATAAACACACCCCTCCCACACCCCACCATACACACCCACACCCCACCATACACACACACACACACCCCATACCCCACCATACACACCCGCCACACAATAAACAAGACTAAGACTTTATTTTTGAGTTATTGTACACAAACACAAATCATGAGAAAAATATTTTTTGTAATAAAGTTAAAATATGTTATAGTAGGTGTTTGACTTTTAGCATATGATTTGTTTTGTTTTTTCCTGGTTCCAAGATGGCACCCCCCCCCTCCCAAAAGGAGAATTTCTGGGGGGCAAGGGGAGGGACTTGTGGTGGCAAAGGTCAGGGATTAGGGGCAGGGTTTCTGGTCCCCAGATGGCAAGCAAGGGAAGGGGCAACTGTCAAGGGGAAGGCCTACCCACGTGGCCTTTGAAAGCTCACCAAACCTCATTAAGTGGCCTTCCAGCCGAAATAATTGCCCACCCCTGCTATAGAGGGTCACAACCCTGGGGATCAGAGAGATAGTGAGCCATGTTAGTCTGAAGTCAGACAGAAGGTAAGGCAGGGTAGCACTTTAGAGGCCAACTGTTTCAAAAGAGGCATGAGCGAATCAGTAATAGACAAGGTCAAGGAAGCAAGGGTCCACACTACATTCAGGGAATCAGGAGGTTGAGGTCTGTATAGGACCAGGACCTAGACAGTCACCCTGAGTAGAACTACAAGCCCGGGGGACTCAGCAATAGGAGGCAGGGTTGCACACAAACCTTTACTCAGAGGATCAAAGTAGGCAGCTACATGGGGCTGGGACATGGGAGATCACCAAGCTAAGCCAGGAGTCTGCGGTCAGGGGACAGGGGTCTGAATTATAGTTTGGAGCACATAGGGTTAGGACCTGGCAAGGCGGTCTGGAAGCACTAAGGGTCAGGAACCGTGAACAAGGATGAAGCCAGGAAGCAGGACCCAAGGAACAGGGAGCCAGAACCAGGGAAGCAGGACCTAGGGTACTAGGACCGTACAGGCAGGACCCAGGAATCAGGGGTGAGAATCACGAAACAAAGAACAAGGAGTTGGAAGCCGCGGGCTAGCCAAAGACGCATCTGTTCTGCTGAGTTCTGAAAGAGTTGTTGCTTCTAAGCAGGAGCCACTCCCATACAGACAATGGCCAGCTGGATTTAGTTAAGCTACTGGCAGCCAGACCCTCTTGGTAACCAGAACCAACTGGAGGCAGTTTACCCTGCTGACTGCCCTGACTCCTAACAGTTTGAACTGTTATGCAAGCCCCACCACCCTATTCCTTATTCCTTACTGCAAGGTGTGGAAGAATCCCATCCCAGTCTCTCCCCAGTCTCTTTTAGTAGTTTTTTTTTCCTTTGCCATTGTCCCCTCACCTGTTTGTCAACCTGGTTGCCCTGGGTTATGGCTACTATGTGACCTCAAGCAGGTACAGGGGAAGTGAACCTAGTCTCTATTGTTTTAAGCACTGACCTCATGGCATGGGGGCAGAGGCTTGAGCCATGTCACACCTTTAGGTGACCGTGATACTTTTTAAATTGGTTGGTTGGCATCGAACAACACCTGCCTTTGACCGGTTCTTGAAGGTAAGGTCGGAAAGGCTATTTCAGGGTCCCTCCATCCTGGGGGAGAGAGGAGAGGCATCTTGAAACTCACTGACACACAATGCACTGCCTGCCTCCAGAGGAAGCTCAGTCAGCTTCTGGATGATACTCGTGAGTAACTTACCTGAAACTTATCTAGAAATATAGCTTACTGTAATATAGAAGCATAACAAAAGGCTACTAAGCGGTACTGTTTGCTCTGGGTTATTCTTTGACACTTCTCCACCTGTAGCCTTCACCAAGCCTACCCTCTTTAACCAATAACGCTGTCTGCTATAACAAGCTCAGTGGTACTTGATCTTGCTGGGAGAGGGATTGGGCAAGCCTTTTTTGCTCCCTTTGCTCAGCTGTCTAAGGGAGGCTACTTTCTATGCTTCAGGCTAATAGAAGCACTCTACAATCCCAAGGTCTACAGGGCCTGTGTATCCCAGGTGGCACAGGGCCCAGATAAAGGCCTGAGTCCAGGTGGTGGTAGCGGTACCCCAGGCTTGCGGGTGTGCTCCAAGAAGGGAATTGACCAGAAGTTGGTGTCCCTGGGGAGGCATCTGAAGCCTGGTTTTTGGTGGGGTGCAGTGGGGCGGGTGTCTTGGCACAGGAGCGCCCCCTACTGGCCTGCCACCAGAGTGATCAGCCACCACCAAGGCTAGAGAGGGCAGGGAAGATTCCACATCCCATTTACTTCTTTAGCTCAGGTCCCATGTACTCTGCAATGAGCTGAATCCAGCCCCTGCATCAGTCTGGAACAACCCACTGGGCTTCCTGAAGTAACCAATGAACTCTGCACTGCAAAGAATTTGCATCCCAGGGCCATGCAGCTCATGTTACTGTGCAGGCCTCATTGGGGGTGCTGCTGCTACTGTCTGTTTTGACAGGACATAACTGCGTTATCAGGAAACAGGGGCTATTCTGGCAACTGGGTCATCTTGGGACAGAGTCCAGATGGTGGGAAAGAAACACTTACTGGATCCTCCTGCTAAACAGATCAGGACTTCATAACATTTCAGAGTAAGCAGCCTACTGACATGGTGTTTGGTTTAGGAAGCCCACACCTCCTGGATTTATGTTGAGAGCTCAACTACAAGGTCTGCAGGCATTTTATTTAAATAACATTTTCAACTCTGGCTCAGTTTGACAGAAGACTAAGGAGATTTTAAGACACCTTTGTTTTTTCCTCTCCCCCAGGCAACAAACTGATTCACTCGCCAGCATAGCTTAGAGCAGCCTCAAGGCTGAGCCAAAGTTTACCTGCTGCTTAGGAGTAAAAGATGCTGTTATATCTGTGCACTCTGGCCACACTCCTGATACACCTCCTCTATAC